GATCATGCCCAAAAGTCGTGTCTCGCTTTGTCTAGAATAAAATATTTATTTATTTATTTATTTATTTATCAGCCCCATCGATTCCGTATCATAGTGGGTTTGATGCGTGTAGTTGCATTACGACATTCCTCCAGGGTTCATCGTAATTGCAGTGACAACCGCAAGCTTCCAACATTCTCAACGAATGTTTGGCTAGCAGCCGCTTAAAACTTCCCGGATGGCGCGTCTGCAATTTCCCCCGGTATGTTGTCCCAATCATTCACCACTCTAGCGGATAGGGCGACGCCCATGCGAAATCTGTGTCTCCTTCGCTTTAATAGTTTCCCTGTGTGACCTCATGTGGAACGGTCGAGGTAGGGCCGGAAGGATTGTTGTTGCGCAATTCCCAGTTCTCCTCAGAGAAGTTCCAACATGACCACATGCGCCCTGTCCTCATTGGTGGACGGTCGAGCGTCCCATTTTTGTCTTTTTGGTCACTGGTAAAACAATGATTAAGTGTAAAGAAAACTGTAGAGCCATTTTAGTTATAACTATAACAAGAAATGCTATGCGAATGGTGGTACATGTTTGATTATCCCCACATTAGGTGTCTGTTTAACTGTACCGGAAATTCATTTTTCGGACATCTTCGAGACATTGCTACCGCGGTGGAATTTTGTAATCATGTCTCGCCGACCTCGAAGACCTTATATTGGTGACTTTCGGTATAACATGTATCAGCACATGAAACACGCTTACGGTACCGTAGTGCAGAACAATGGTACTTTCCCTGTGTACTGCGTCCCTTTGGTTAAAGTCTTCAGGTTTGTACCCAATCCGCTCCGACCGGTTGAATGCTCCTCGCTTTTCCGAAGCCTTTAGCATGTTACTGGTACGTCCATACAGCCATTGCTGGATTCCGTGGCTATTGTTCGTTGGGGTTCATATGATTTATTGGGTCAATCTTCGGAGTCGAGTATTGTAAAGCGAAATTTCCAAACGCATAACATGCGCAAACATGTGTCTGCTGTTTTACTACCCGTGCTGTCAACGTCGCAGTTGACAAGCATTACCGCACTCTACTGCGGTATCGCGCTTGGTTATTTACCAGATAGAAGGATAAACGTTATGCGTCGGCGCTTTCGTGCGTTTCGCCTTGAATTGCTACACGTTTCGCGCACATGGCTCTGTACTCCAGGTGGATACCCGGTTGCCGTTATTAAGGGTGGCGATTACGTGCACCTTGGGCTGAGTACGGGTATAGGTCGCCTGTTGGAAACAAGTGATGATACTGTGAAGTCGAAATTGCAGCTGCAGCTGCACATAAACTTACTCACCCCGTTTCACACTTCACGCAAACAATTGTGGCCTGTTTTGTCCAGACTCAAGGATCCGCCTTAATTCATTTTCATTGTCGGATTGTGTTTCGCCTTGTCTAAACCTGCAGATGTACATGAGTTTCTACGACCAGCCATGGATGAGCAGAGAAGTGGCTTGCATCCTGAAATCCGTATATTTCCGGAAGTTTCTTTGGTGACACTTAGCTTGAAGTGTGTTTGCGGATGCTCCTGGTCGGGCATACAAATGACAAGGAAAGCAGCCTTCCGGTTAGGAGGCATTCGCGCAATCTACCGTTACTGGTTAATATCCGATTTC